TCACACTCCACAGTCCAACTGTATAGATTTTTCTTACAGTTCTTTAAAGGCGCCATGCTCTCAAAGACCGCAGGGTTTTCATGCACACTGTTTTCTCTGTGTGGCACACTTTCCCATGCCCTCTTCCTCTAACTAACTCCTAATTATTATTTAGTTCCCCACTTGTACATCAATTCCTTAGGAAGATATCACCTTATTCTCCTGATTAGCTTAGTCCTTCTCACCATACTTTTCTATAACAACTTAATCTATAGACTTCAAGCCTTTTGGAGCCAAGGGTAGGATCTCTTCTGTAGGTCCAGGTTCCAGGCTTTAGGCATCCCTCAAAATATTGAATGAAAATATGACCCACATGTACAATTGACTATATATCTGGCCCCAGAAGAGTCGTCAAAGGGAGGTGTTTCTTAGTCATTGGGAATATCATGCAGTAATCAAGTAAACTTAAGGCAAAAAAATAAAATGCATTTAGAAAACCTTGTCTCATGAATTAGGTAGAAACTGCATCGTTTCAGAGATGGAGTTTGGGAAATTGCTGGAAATCAGGGAACTTTATTCTGTTAGCGTGATAGTTTGTTAACGAAGCTCTGTCTTGATTTTCTGCTTAACTAGCACAATAGCCCTTGTTAAGGGATAATTTTTGTCAAAATGTACAATCTGCATCAATCTCAGCTTTACAAGGTGTAAGTTAGAACTTATTGCAAATGAAAAAGAAGAGGAAAGCTAACAAGAAGAACATATTTTTTCAACAGTGAGACATTCACCTTTTCATATTAAGCTAATAATTCCTGCAAATCAGGCAGAAGTGAGGGTAATGGAGTCATTAGTTTAATAATGCAGTGCTAATTAACTTAACCTCTCCCAAACAGGTTATGTAATATAAACCAGGAGGCTGGCTAAGGTAATATAATTTCCAGAAAGAAATTTGAAGGGGGAGAATGATGACTAACTTGTGACGGACAATTGTTCTTTTTACTAAGAAAAAGAGAGCCACAAGCAGGGGCTAGAAAAGTCCAGGAACTACAGAATAGTTGGCCTGGAAAAGAAAAATGAAAGTCCTACTCATTTACGCACAGATAATAGGAAAGCACCTGCTAAAAAGTTTGTGTTATTTTACACAGGGAACTTCTGTTTCTCTAGGGCTGCGCTGTTCAACGGTAAGGTAATGCAAGCTACGTACGAAATTTTACCTTTTCTTGTAGCCATATTAAAAAAGCAAAAAGAAATAGGTGAAATTAATTTTAATAATACAGTTTATTTAACCCAAATGCATCTTAAATGTTATAATTTCAACATGTAATCAATATTTATAAAATTAATATGATAATTTACATGGTTTGTACAAAGTCTTTGAAACTGAGTATGTATTTACATTATAGCTCAGTGAAAATTAACTACATTTCAATGCTTAATAGCCACTTGTGGCAAGTAGCTACTGTACTGGGCTGTTAACTCCAGACTCTATTAACCAGATAAGTGAAAGTGTGTGTGTATGCATGATGTTATCAGCAATAACTCCAAATTACTGAAAGATCTGAAGTATCTTTTGAATCTTTACATAGAGATAATCTTTTTAGTATATTACAATCATTTATGCATTTTATCATGTTCTAATTCCTTAAATATTGGTAAGCCATGGATGGACTCAGAGTAGCTGTATTAATAGAGACAGCATTTGTGATGCCTGGATTTAGGAGTCATCTGCGAACAAAGCTTTCTTCGAACAAGCCTCAGTCAGGATGCAGAGTGCCTGAGAGGAAAAGTAACTGGACATGTGGAAATCACCATGGCCTCCACAAACACAGAATCCTCATGAGCAAGTCTGGGTCTAGACTCTCCTGTTGGGAAGACTGCCTTCCTTTGGTTCATAGAGGGAAATATCATGTAAAAGTAAAGACAGACAAGGAACTGAGAGAAGGGACACCTCTGAAGCAGGCAGGGAGGTGGAGGAAGCCTGTTTGCATGAAGGAAGAAAAGCACCTTGTGGTACCAACCAGGCACCTCTCGATGCTGCCTCTGCAGCTGATTCACATAACTAAAAGGGGTATCTTACTCTCAACATCCCCGTCCTGAGCACGCTAGATAAATGGACTTTTGCTGTTAACTTCTGATTGTGGGCATGGTATATTTACAATATACTATGATATGCAGCAACCGTTATCCACAGAGGGAGGGGCAGCACTGACCTCCTCTTTAGTGGGGAGGAGTCTGTCTGAATCAACCTTTGATCTGAAATTCCACACTGAGACTTAAAAGCTAGTCCAAGTGCATAATATCTTGAATTGCATAGGAGATGGAGGCAGCATTTTGAGAGACCCTACAACTTTAGTTCCTTTATAGCAAGAAAGCTACTCCAAATGCAAGGAAACCACTTACTTTGGACATGGCAGTCATAACTCAATCTTTAGTTATTGTAACATTTTCTGCTGGGCCAATAAGAAAATTGTGCTTCATTTCAGTTGTTACCTTTTAATTTATATATTTAACTTTTGGTAGAGTTTATTAATTGTCTGTATTTAGTAAACTCAAGCTGCATATTACAGATAACATACAGATACAGACTTAAGTAGAAAATAGAGATATGAAGCAAGAAACTAATATTTTTTGAATATCTATTATGTGTCAGGTACTGGGTTAAGCATTTTCCTTACATCATAGTCACCCCCATTTGAGACAGGACTACTAATGCCATTTTATATAGAAGACTGTGTGTGTGTGTGTGTTTGTATTTTTTCTCTTGGAACATCTTTGTAAATAATAATATCTAGTCTGCAAACATGAGGAGAATCATTAAATGATTTTGTTTACAGATTTTACTGCTTTCAGTGTTCCGTTTCTAGATTTTAGCTTCAATCTCTTATTTTACAGTTTTCAGTTACTACTTCTGAATTTGCTCTGAATAGAGGCATTCTTTTTATATAAGGAATAGAAGATGCATTGCTTAAAATGTTGTACGAGAAATAACATCAGTCAACTCTTTTGCAAATATCCAAACCATTCACTATTCATTTTTGGCCAGTTGATTGACTAGAAATTTTGTCTTCCTTTTTGCCTTTCATTTCAGTAATTATATTTTTATTAACTAAAAACTTGAAAGTTAAAAATATCACTTTGGCTTATAATTTCTAATTAGTTTTCTTATTTAAAACAGCCACTGTACCAATTAGGTTGATGACAATCAAACTTTCACTTTACTTTTATTCAGTCATCCATTCAATAAATCTTCACTTAATTCATACTTGTTGCACATCTACCAGGTGCACATTTCTTTGAAAATATCTCTATAGTCAATCTCTGTGTTCCACTTGCTGGAAGAATTTAGGTTTTCGTACAATTAACAGTCATTATTATCTTAGAATTTGTATAATGTTTTGACTTGATCTTCTCCAGTTAAACACAGGCATCTAGAAATAGATTTAGTGCCCTTTCAGAAAGGAAGTAGATGCCAGATACCAGTAATCATAATGTCATGGGTCAAGAAACAATGAAAGGACAACAGAAATGAAAAATTTTCCCTCCCGAGAACTTGTCAAGGTCTTCTGGCAGATCAAGGTAGTCTGCTCACTAATTCTTTAACCCACAATACTTCAAATTATGTTTTAAAAAAGTATTTCAAATGTATAGGTCTGTAAATATGTTATATATTCCTAGTCTCACTTTTGGGGTGGAAGATGCTTAATGAGAGACTGGGGCTTAATCTACACACTACAGACAACTCTAGACTTTTATAGGTGCTCTTTGAGTTAAAAATAAAAATTCCGTTATATACATACTATATTTGAATTCATTCTAGTGAAAGGAATCAGCTTTCTCATTTGTGAAAAAGCAAAGGGCAGACAAACGGTTAAAGATGCAATAACTAGTTAATCTCAAAAGTCTATAGCAAAAACATATAAGAAAAAATATCAGTTGTGACCTTTTAGTCACCGTTTACAGATGACCCATTCAGCTCAGCAGACAACATATTGGACATTTCGTTTAATTTCATTTACATGAAGACACTTATTTAAAGCGAAATAGTCTGCACTTTGGACTCAAGTAGACCTGACTCTGATTTAGGTGCCACCTACTACCTACTACTGCTAGCTGAGTAACTTTAGAAAAGGTACTTGTAACCCTCTGAGCCATGGAGTCCTGGTGTGTAAAGTAGGAACAATGTCAACCGTGACCGAGGGTTGCGATGACAGAAAATAATTAAGCAATATTTATAGCAGTGTTTGGAACAAAACAGATATGAATTAATTAACATCAGTTCCCCTTTCATTCCCAATGTGCTGGTGTGAAAGAAATTTGCTTTTGGTTTGGAATCATGCATTCTCTCCTCCCCCATCAGAACATATTTTTCCAGCTGTCCTAAATCTGAGCAGAGAGACATGAAAGAAATGACTGCAAATAGAGGCATCCGTTTAACATGACAGTTTTGGAAGAAGAAAATCACTATATATTAAGCCTCATTTTAATGACTAACAAAGGAGATGCCAATTTTTCCTTGTGATCTTCTTTTATATTTTGCATTCTAAGTAAAACTATATCATTTTCTGTTTTAAGAAACCGCTGGGCTAAATGATAGAATATGGGATCAATTCCAACTATTTGCCCCTTAGCCTGTTCTTAACAAGGTTGATACGTCAAAGATGAAAACAAAATTCTTAAGTCTTGGCTTGGCTGGACCCTGTCCCGAACATTCGGAGAAACTTTAAAAGGTGCTTCACCATGTGGAAAGCGAGGGAGAGGTGACGAGAAGGTATCGTAAGAAACTTTACATAGTTTTGTTTTGTCAAAGTACTGAAATCATTGCCATAAGCAAAAGTGAGGAAAATATTGATAGAAAGGAGATCGCCTTCATATTAAAAGGGAAGACGGTGTGGAGTTAAGAGTGAAAACCATGTGCTTTAAACTGGAAGTAACAGACGGCAGGAGTTTTTCCAGAACTTGCATTATGGTAGGGTTCACAAGGGTGAAGGGGGTGTCATTCACTCCTGCTCCCGGAGCCAACTCACCCAGCTGGAGCTGTTCACACGTCCGGTTTGGGTTTTTTCCGATTCTGCATCTATAAATCGCGCCAGGATTGATCACTGAGGGGTTGGCGAGCCAGTTGTCAGTCGGTGCCCCCACCACAAGCCTAAAACAAGAAACGTGCACGTGCGGACAGACGTGAGCTGTGCTGCCAGCCGATCTCCTGGTCTCAACAGAGGAGCAGCCCTCACCTCCTCCTCCTCTGTCCACCACCCAACGGGCCACCCCTAACTCACAACGCCAGGACCTTGCGCCAGAACGCACTCCGGGCGCTGCCCCACCAAGATAAGTTAGTTTCCCGGGGAAATCTCCAGCGAGCTCGCCATCGCTGATGCCGCCGAGGGCGCGCAGCGTTCCCTGCCAGCCTCCTTAGGAGGGAAGAAAGTTTTAAGCAGGGCCAGAAATCCCTAGAGGCGCGGTTGACACGCCGCGCGGAGATGCCAAGTGCGCCAGAGTCCGACTCCACTCACCATCGGTTGGTCCCATGCCTGTGCAGCACCACCGAGTAGCCGAACAGGGTGCCGGCGGGTCCCCTGTAGAGCAGCGCGCTCTCCGTGTCCACGTTGTAGGGGCGCCCTATCCGGACTCCCAGGCACAGCAGCAGCATCACCACCTCCGGGACGGCGGCCGCTCGGGGGCCGACCCCGCGCCTCGCTTCCTCAGCCATGCGTTCTCGGAGGGGAACATTCAATATCAAACGGCCACTGCCCCAAAGTTGTTCGGGATGCGACGCTCGGCCTAGGGGAAGAGTGCCCCAAGAGAAGAGGCGCAGCGCGTCAGGCGCCGGCGGGCGGGAGGAAAGGAGGGAGGGACAGATGGAAGGAGGGGAAGGAGGCCCGCCGCGGGCGGAGCGATCGGGGGTGGCCTGGGAAGCAGTGCGCCCGCAAGCCCCACGCCAGTTTCTGCGACCCAGAACTGCGGTGCTCGCGAGGTCCTGGGGCACATGGCTGGGTGGGGTCCCGGGCGTGGTGCGGAGGCGCAGAGCCGGGCGCCGTTTCCCCAAAAGTGAGGCTGTAGAGGGCGCTGGGGGACCTCTGCTTTGCAGGGCGCTGGTCCTAGCTGGGGCCTCCTAGGCGACAGAGCGCGGGACGGATGAGGGCTCCTGGGGCTTTGCCAGAGTGGATCTGGTAAGGGGACAGGACTTCCCCTTTAACCGTGATTCGGGCCTGGATGCGGAGCTGCGTGGCCCAAACTCGCCCCTCTAGGCGCGCAGAGCCTCCGCAGCTTGCCCGGCGTGGCCCACAGCCCAGCCACAAACCTAGGAGTGGAGACTGTGGCGTTGGACGGGCAAGGACCTTCAAGTTAAGCGCTGTATCTGATTTTTCTAGTGTAAACAACCACTAGAGAAATTAAACTGAGGGCCAAAAATTTGGGGAGGAAAAAACATAAATGAACTCCTTAAAGGCGCCTGGGGAACACCTTGGCGACAAAGACGTTATGGCTATTCAAGACTCACAGCCCTGCACCCTTTTATGCCCACTTCCTTCCGCCGCCCCACGCTTCCTCTTAAGACCAGGCTGCTATGCCTGAGGAAACAGAGAAGCAATGGCTCAGGCTGAGTGGCACGTGGTTTAAGCTGTTGCTGACCCCAGCAGCTAAGCTGGGTTTCCTTACCTTGAGAATAGCCTCACTTCAAAGGACTCTGCCATCTGATTCTTGATGCTCCCCCTTTCCACGCACCCAATTGCCACCGGACATACCTACCCTCGGGGGTGTAGTAGACTCAGTTTTAGGGAGACACCATTATTGAACCTGTGATGGAGACCCACAGCAAAAGACATCTGAACTGGGTGATGATTCTGATCCTACAGCAATCCAGATGTGCCTCAGGTTTATTTCTTGAGCTACCAGAGAAGTAACCACAGATGATGAAGGTGATATTTGCCAGGATATGCATTTCCAGTTATGCACAGCTGGTATATGAAAAAAAGAGAAGTCTTCATCAAAGGGTGTGTCTGTGTGAATTAAAGCCACACTAAAATAATACATTTAAGTGATAATGGCAGACACATAATCAAAATACATGTTCATTAATTCAGCATGTTCACTGAGCAGGTGCCTTGCCAGGCTCACAGAATACTACAGTGAACGAGGCAGAAATGATACACCCCCTCGAGAAAATTTGCAACCAAGTGATCAGTAGGTGGATAAACTTTTACCGACTAGAGGAAGTTCCAGTGTGGATTCCAACTCTTGGTGCCCTCATGTGTTTCAGGATAGACCTGTTCTCCATAGAGTTTTCATGGCTGTGACATTTAGGAAGCAGATCACTAAGCCTTTCTTCCTAGGCACCTCATCGGTGGGTTCCAACAGCCAACCTTTTGGCTAGTAGCCCAGTGCTTAAACATTTGTGCTACCCAGGAACTCCTCCAGAGGACTTAAAGAGAGGGAATGGAAGCCATTATTTGAAGGACAAGGAAGATTAAGCCAGACTGAGCAATTTGAGAGGAAAGAGAGGAGGGCTTCAGTGGAGCCAGGTAGTAGAACTGGATGAGTTTCCCTTGGGCTGAAGCACTTAGCTGCCCACAAGTTGGTAAGATATGAGGCTGAATAGGGAAGCAGAGACTCATGAAGAGCCTTGTGAGTCAGGTTAGGAGGTTTTAACTCTGCTCTGGGGCTGATAGGAAGCTGTTGAAGTATTTTTCTTGGGCAGCTGTGGATATTAGAAGGCACACTTTGTCTTCAGTCTGGAGACAAGACTAAATATAGAAAACTTCTTTTGAAGACTCCTGCAGCAATGATTAGGGAGATGACAGCAGCCTGAATTAGGAAGTAGTAAGAGGGATAGAGGAAAGAAAAATAGATTGAAGATGTATCTGGAAGATAAAACCCAACAGAACTTGATTGTAGATACGAATGTGGGGCTGAGATAAAAGAGTCAGGATGATGTCCAAGTCTCAAGTTTGGAAGCTAGGTGGAGGAATGAGTTTAGATCCCTGGATAGCACAAGTGGTTTGCTCTTGGCTACTGGCCTAAAGGTTGGCAGTTTGAACCCACCCAGCAGCACCATGGAAGAAAGTCCTGGTGATCTGCTTCCATAAACATTATAGCCAAGAAAACCCTATGGAGCAGTTCTACTCTGTAACAGCTGAAGTCACCATAAGTTGGAATCTACTTAGTGGCAACTGGTTTGTTTATTTTGTTTTGTGTGCACATGTGTGCAGATGGGGGCACTGATGAGCCAAGTTTCAGACGTGGAGTTTGAGATATTTATGGAATGTTAGGATATCCCAGCAAAACACAAGCCAATTATTTTTACTCTCTTGTCAACAGACAAAACAAAAATGATATTAACCCTCTCATATTATTCACAACAAAGTAGAAAGCTAATAATGATGTGTGATAAATCTATTGTAAAAAAGAAATGGAATGGCTTCCAGGAGGGTAGCTATCACAACTCATGACGAATGCTCCCGCTCTGTTTCTTTACTTAGAATGGGTTTCTTCCTGAGTAGATCTACATGCTGATGTTGATCCAGATCTACAACTAGCTCACATAGTCATCATGCTGAAATAAGCAATCCCTCCAAACTCCACAACATCAGAGCTGCTGATCTGAACCCCTGCCCTTCTTTCACCAAAATCTTACACAATAAAATCCATTCAGCACAATTCTTCTCATACCATGATTAAGATGAGCAGCGGCCAGTAGAGAGAGTTTGATGGAGCAGGACATTAGTTCTATTATTATGACTATGATTTCATCACCTTCCCAGAAATAGCCGCCCTTTTAAACCACACATGCTGTTGTTAACTCTGAGTATTGCTCCGCTAAGGCTTAGAGATCTGCTGGCTTTTCCTAATGTCAGCAGAAGTAAAGAGAGTTTAATGTTGCTTTGACAAAGCAACATTTGACAAAGTCCTGGGGAGGACTTTTTAAAACAAATTATGCTTATCCTTCAACTCTCAGCTGGACTTAAATATTCAGTTATTATATATCAAGTACTCACTTTGTGCCAGGAGTTGCATTAGGGACTCAAATAAGAGTAGCAGACAAAATATAAGTAGTCTTTCTCCTTGTTGAAAAAGTCCTTCCAGAGGATTCAAATATGACTTTCCAGTGTCATCTCATCCAACTTCTCAGTTGCTGTCAAGAGTGACCATTTCTCCTTCTTGAAAGACTCTTTTTGTGATACCACCTTTTTCAAGCTTTTTTTCCCCTCCTCACAAAAGCCCTGGTGGTGCAGTGGTTAAAGAGCTTGGTTGCTAACGGAAAGGCTGGTGGTGCAAACCCATCAGCTGCTCAGCGGTAGAAAAAGATGTGGCAGTCTGCTTCTGTAAAGATTTACAGCCTTGGAAACCCTATGGGGCAGGTCTACTCTGTCCTATAGGATCACTAGGAGTTGGAATCGAGTCAATGGCAGTGGTTTTTTTCGTTTTTGTTTCGGTATCTGGCCATTCTGAGTCTCGTTTGCTGGCTTCTCCTCCACCGTAATTGTTGGAAAACCAGAGGGCTCCATTGTAAGACCTCTTTTTTTCTCTTTCCACCTTCCCTCTTTAGGAGATCTCATCCATTTCCTATGGCTTTAAATACCATCTATAGAAAAAAACAATACCAAATCTGTTGTCATTGAGTTGATTCTGACTCATAGCGAACCTGTAGGACAGAGTAGAACTGCCCCACAGGGTTTCCAAGTTGCTGCTGGTGGATTTGAACTGCCGACCTTTTGGTTAGCAGCCAAGCTCTTAACCAGTGCACCACCAGGCTCCACCATCTATATATCCCATCTGTATACTGTTCTGTGAGTTCCCAAGCCTGGATCTCTCTTCTGGACTCCTGGCTCATATGTTTACTGCCTACCTGATTCTCTACTTCGAAGTCTAATGGGCATGTGCATATAACATGTCTAAAACTCAATTCTGATCCCCTTACTCCTTGACTACACTATTCCTCCACCCAATTTCTTCCTTTTCAGAAAATAGCATTCAATTTGCCCAGTTGTTCAGACTAGAAATTTGGAAAGTGATCCTTTATTTCTCCCTCTCCCTCTCTCCTCCATTAAATTCGTCACTAAGTCCTGTCAATTCAGCCTTTATAATATATATCAAACTCATCTGTTTTTCTTCTGCATTGCTACTACCTTTTCCAAGCCATAGTAATCTCATCTGGCTATTAAATAGTCTGCTACCTGGTCTCTCTGTTTGCCCCTCTCCCACCTCAATCAATTTTCTGCATAGAAGCTAAAGTGAACTTTTAAATTTCTAAATCAAATCATGCATGCCACTCCCTTGCTTAACTCCTTTAAGTAGATTCCTGTTGCTCTTTTAGTACAAACCACACTTAACGTGGCCTAGAACACCTTGCGTGATCTGGCCTCTGACCACTTTACCAGCCTCACCACTGGCCACTTTCCCTCTAGATCACTTTATTTTAGCCACATCTGCCTTTCTAATTTTCTTAAAGGCACCGAGGCTTTTTCACCCTCAGGATCTTTGCCCATACTCTTCCCACTGACCAGACACACAACCTCTGACTTTTCACATGATTCCTTTTTCTCTTCCTTTAGTCTCAGCTTGAAGGTTTCCTCCTCATAGATGATTTTCCAATTTAAAGTAGACCACCATAATATTCTCTCACAGAAAATCCTGTTCATTCGCTCCACAGCTCCTTATGTAATGTGTAATCATATATGTATTTACGTTTTCTTTCTCACTCGAGTAGGAGGGTGGAAAGCATGATTCTTGCGGTTGCTGTAGTTCATCACTGTATCTCCAGCAACTGGTATCATGGCTGGGAA